TCTGGCTTTGGGGAGGTGTGGGAAGTAACTGGGTTTCATGTAACTCAGGCTAGCCTAGAGCTCACTATGTAGATGAGGCTGACCTCGAACTCCAGATCCTCCTGGCTCTACACTCACACACGTCACCTCTGTCTCTCTCTCTGTCTCTCTCTCTGTCTCTCTCTCTCTCTGTCTCTCTGTCTCTCTCTCTGTCTCTCTCTCTGTCTCTCTCTCTCTGTCTCTCTGTCTCTCTCTGTCTCTCTCTGTCTCTCTCTCTCTCTCTCTCTCTCTCTCTCTCTCACACACACACACACACATGACATTTCTGTGAGGCAGATCTGTGAGACAGGTGTGACGAAGAGTACATAGTGGGTGACTCTTGCTGACAGTTTTGAGGTAGAACCAAGGGCAGAATGGTTCAATCTTGACTTTCTGGTGCTTTTGACAGCACAGAAGGAATATTTCTGGAGAGCCCTACCTTGCCAAGGGAAGCCTTTTTGAGACAGGGTGTCCCTGTAGGCCCAGCTGGCCTGGAACTCATAGAGATCCACCTACTCTGCCTCACGAGTGTCGGGACTAAAGGCATGCGTCACACCTGGCCCCTGATCCTTTCTTAACTAACTTCAAGACGGCACGAAGGAGATACGTGACACTCAATGGGTGACTGAAACAAAATCTGGAGAGCTTTCTCGTTTATTCAGTCAACAACTAGCCAACCTGGAAACTCTCAGGAGCCAGCTGTGATCTGGGGAAGACATTATCCTTACTCTGCAAAGCAGACATTTGGCCATTGTGTGGAATGTTTCTCCATTACATCAGTTTTCATCTCCAGGGGCCTCAGAGACCACTGAGAGGTGTGTTCTTGTCCCTCTCTGTGAGGCCTCAGAGGCTGCTGTGCTCTGGGCAAGTGTCCCCAGAAGCTTACTACAGCTTAGCTTCAACCTGTGGCACTTCTGGGAGAGGAGGGGCCGAAGTCTTCCAGACATATGGGGGTGTAGGTGGGGGACATGCCCTTAAAGTGGATTGGGATTGCACCCCTCCTCTCTGTGTATTCATCAGCTTCCCTGAGGTGAGCGCGCTCCCACCACAGTGTCATTTCCTCCCACACCAGGAGCAGCAGGCTAGTCCACCATGACTGAAAGCTGCTCCTTACAATTTCTGTTTTCTCAGGAATCTCATCAAAATGACAGAAAGCTCACTTCCCTCAGTGCTGGCTAGGGAACTTGGTGGCTCATGTTTGCATGTTGGGCTTCTTTCTGAATTGTGTCATATTAATAATCTACAAGCATTGTAAAACCAAGTCAGACTGTTCACCTTTGATTCACCTTTATCTCCTCACAAGGAATATTTAGTCAAGAATGAGAGGAATTAGGGGCTGGAGAGATGGCTCAGTGGTTAAGGGCACTGGCTGCTCTTGCAGAGGACCCAGGTTCTGTTCCCAGCACCCAAATGGTGGCTAACTGTCTGTAATTCAAGTTCCAGGAGATCCACCACACTCTTCTGGCCTCTGTGGACACTGCATGAACATGGTAGACATACATTCAGGTAAAAATTAAAAAATAAAAAATAAATAAAAAAATAAAGCAAAAGGAAGGGGCAAGGTGAGATGGCTCAGCAGGTAAACATGCTTGCTGCCAAGCCAAGGACCTGAGTTTGAGTCCCAGAAGCCACATGGTAGAAGGAGAGAACTGACTCTCACAAGTTGTCCTCTGACCTCCACATACACATTGTGACACTCATGCACACACATGATTATACATACACGCACAGTAAATAAAATTAAATATAAAAACATTTTAAAAAGAAATAAAAAGCAAAAGCCAGGGCTGGAGAGATGGCTCAGTGGTTAAGAATGCTGGGTCCTCGTGCAGAGGACCTGGGTTTGGTTCCTAGCACCCACATGGTAGCTAACAACTATAACTCTAGTTCCAGGGGATCCAATGCCCTCTTTGGTCTCTGTGGGCATTGCATGACATGAGTGTACTTATATACATGCAGGCAAAACCTACATATAAAATGAAAATAAATCTAGCTAGGCATGGTGGTGCACACTTTTAATCCCAGCACTTGGGAGGCAGAGGAAGATGGAGCTGAGTTCAAGGCCAACCTGGTCTACAAAGTGAGTTCTAGGCCAGCTGGGGCTACAGGGAGACCCTGTCTCAAAAAAATAAATAAATAAAAAGAAAAAGAAAAAGAAACCTTTAATTTTTTTTTAAAACAAAAGCAAAGGACTGGAGAGATGGTTCAGTGGTTAAAAGCACCGGCTGCTCTTACAGAAGATCTGGGTTTGAATCCACTCATATGGTGGCTAACAACTGTTCATAACTTAAGTTCCAGGGGATCCAAGACCCTTTTCTGTCCATTGCAGGACATGGGTACACTTACATACATGTAGGAATAACACTCATAGACATAAAATAAAAATTAAAATTAAAATTAAAAAAGCAGAAGCAATAGCAAAACCAAATTTAAAAAGAAATTGACTCTTCTGTCAAAGAATTTCTGTAAGCCCCAGTGTATCTAAAGAGCCATGCTCTGAAGTGACATGCAGAAGGAAGCTAATACAAAAATCTAAAAATCGGAAGGAAAAAAAAGAATCAGCAAGATGGTTCAGTAAAAGTGCTTGCCATGCAAGCCTGACCACCCGACACACACACACACACACACACACACACACACACACACACACACACACACGCACAGCTTCAACAACACATTTATCTTATCAGGTGACATGTCTTTAAGTTGTTCCCACCCCCAATGACAGGACCGCACTGAACAGGACATATCACGTCCATGGACTCCTGCTTGAGTCTAATCATGAAGAACAGTAGACAGGTGCCTTGAGGGGTGCTCTGAAAGACCAGAGCAATGCTCATCAAAAGATCCAAGTCATAGATGACAGGAAAGACCAAGGAATTGTCACAGATCTGAGGGGACTAAAGACTCAAAACTAAATGTAATGTGGGATCCCAGACCAGATGTAGGACATTAAGCAATGACACAGAAGTCTGTAGTTCACTTAAAAAGCACTGTATAGCGAGGTGGTGGCACACGCCTTTAATCCCAGCACTCAGAGGCAGGTGGATCTCTGTGAATTCAAGGCCAGCCTGGTCTACACAGTGAGTTCCAGGACAGCTGGGGCTACAGGGAGACCCTGTCTCAAAAAGACAGAAAAAAAAAAAAGCACTGTATGGAGGTCAGCTTCGAGGTCTCCAGAACTACACGACTTCCTCCGTCTGTCTGTCTGCCCATCTGTCCCTCCCTCCCCTCCCGTTCCTCTCTATTCTTTGAGACAGGGTCTTATGTAGCTCACACTGACCTTGAACTCTATATGTAGCCAAGGATGACTCTGATCCTTCTGCCTCCTGAGTGCTGGCATAACAGCATGTACCACCAAGCCCAGGGTCTCCCTGTAGCCTGGAACTCACTATGTAGACCTAGCTGGCCTCTATCTCACAGAGATTTAATCCCTCCCAAGTGGTTCACCCAAGACATAATTTCTGGAGTGTCCCATTAGATGAAAGCTTGGGGAAGGGTATGTGAGACCTCTATACTATTTTTTCAGCTTTTCTATAGATCTGAAATTAATTAAAACAAAACTTTTACTGTTGTTGGATTTTTTTTCTTCTTTTTTTTTTTCATGCTAGGCAAGTACTCTACCACTGAGCCACAAACCAGCCCTATACTGGAAGCTTCTAGGCTGGTGCTCTACCACTTAGCAACATGCCTGGCCCTCATTTTACTTAGTTTTGAGACAAGGTCTCATTATGTAACCCAGACTGGCCTTGAAATTGCAATTCTCCTGCCTCAGCCTCCTGAACTGATGACAGGGCCATGTTATTAGGCTTGGCTTTTTTTTTTCTCCTTTGTATGTGAACATGTGTGATGTGTGTGCATGTTTGTGTGTTTGTATGCGTGTAGGTGCGCATGTGTGGAGGCTGATGGCTCATGTTGGATGCTTTCCTCGATCGCTCTTTACCTTATATATGGAGACAGGGTCTCTCATTGGAATTCGGAGCCTGCTGACTCGGCCAGCCTAGCAGCCAGCGTGCCCCCAGGGTCCTCTATTTCTGCCTCTGTGTGGTAGGATTGCAGGTGGCCACCACACTCACCTGGCATTTACATGAGTGCTGGGGATCAGAACTCTGCTCCTTATGTTTGCATGGCAAATGGTTTAACCATGGAGTCATCTCCCCAACCTTCTCTTTATTTGCTTTCTTTTTTTAAAAATTTTATTTATTTATTTTATGTGTATGTGTGTATTGCCTGCATGTAGGTAAGTGCACCCATGTCGTGCAATGCCTGTGGAGGTCAGAAGAGGCTGTCAGATCCTCTGGGACTGAAGTTATGGACAGTTATGAGCTGCCATGCGGGTGCTGGGATTTGAACCCAGGTCTTCTGCAAGAACAACCAGTGTTCTTAACCACTGAGCCATCTCTCCAGCCCCTGCTTTATTTCTTTTTTGAGACAGGATCTTATGTAGCCCAGGCTAGCCTGGAACTTAAGATATAGCCAAGTCTGTCCTCCTATCTCTACCTCTCATGTGCTGATTATTTTTTGAGACAGGGTGTCTCTGTAGCCCCAGCTGGCCTGAAACTTGCTATACCAGGCTGGCCTTGATCTCACAGAGATTCACCTTCCTCTGTCTCCTGAGTGCTGGGATTAAAGGCCTGTGCCACCATGCCTGGTCCCAAATTTTTATTTTTATTATTATTTATTTGTGGAAGAGTGTGTGTGCCACAGCACATGTGTGGATGTTAGAGAATAACTTGCTGGGTTAGTTCTTTCCTTTCACCATGTGGGTTCAGGTCATCAGCGTGGTGGCAAGCACCTTTACCTACTGCGCCATCCGGCCAGCCCATCACCCCTTTTCTTGAACAAAAGAATTATTTGCAAAGGCAGAAACATTCCCTTAGCAGCTAAATTAGAATGAGGGGCAAACAGGTACAACACAACAGGTACAACACGTGAGGCCAGAGCCAGCCAGAGCATGCTCAGAAGTCTTATGACCATCCTACCTGTCTTCTCCTTGATCTCGCAGAGCACATTGAAGAGAGCAGGCTTCATCCGATGGCAGTTCAGAGCATGCTTTCTGAAAGAGGTCACAGAGGCATGATGAGAAAGGTTAGCTCAGCGCCAGAGCAGCAGCCTTCCCTCCCAAGAAACCAAGCCCAGAGCCAGATGTGGATGGCACAGCCTGTGGAAACAGGACGAAGCAGGCCACATGACTTTAATCTGTGAAAAGTTAAAATATGAGTATACAATCTGTGATAGTGAATCTGGATCATCAACTTGACTGGATTAAGAAATGCTTAGGGAACTGGTTTGGTGGCATGTGACTGTCACCCCAGCACTCCGGAGGTAGAGCAGGAAACCCAGGAATTCAAGGCCAGCCTCAGCTACATAGTGAGGTTAGAGTTGAGGCCAGCCTAGAATACAGGAGATCCTGTCTAAAACAAAATCCACAGAAAACAGAGCTGGACCAGGAATTCAAGGCCAGCCTCAGCTACATAGTGAGGCTGGAGTTGAAGCCAGCCTAGAATACAGGAGTTCCTGTCTAAAACAAAACCACAGAAAACAGAGCTGGAGCGATGGCTTACCGTAAAGCGTAAAGGCTTTTGCTGCGAAAGCCTGACAGCCTGAGTCCAATCCCCAAAATCCCCAATGGAAGGGGAGAACAGACTCCAGCCAGTTGTCCTCTGACCTGTGTTGTGGTAGAACCATGCCTGTTTACACAGACATTATACACCCCTCCACACTAAATAAATAAATGTAATTAAAAGTTTTTCTAAAAAACTACTTATAAAGCACCTACATTGTGTCAGGTGTTCTAAGCCATCTAGAGACGATAAAGTCTATGGGAATACAGTGAAGGGTCCAGCAGTCATCCTGCAACTCATATAAAGGACTTGAGCCCCTGTGCTTTTATATCTGCTGGGGAGGGGTACAATCCTGAAATTGGTTCCTGTTGGACACTGAGGGATAGCTGCACAAATATTCAACCATTCAAGGTCAGAAGGTCTGCAAGCTGCACTCCCCTTCCTCTGCTTAGTGGCCCACCTTGGGACACACAGAAACAGCAGGCCACACTTGCTCTCCCAGTGTCTCGTGACAGTAGCTTGGCAGGTGTTTAGCCCACCATGGACCACACACCTTTCTAACACTGTAGGCAACTGAGGTTTCTAATCTCAAGGCAGTTGAGATGGAGAAGGTGAAAGACAGCAAGGGTATGAACTAAACAGCAGCTGTGGCAGGTGCCAGGACTACAACTGAGGCCATGGGAAGATGGGGACAGTCACACAGCACACAGGATGGTGTGTGCAGCTCTTCTTTTTGCAATATATTTAAAAAATATTTTATTATTATTTTTTTTTAGTCTTTTTGAGACAGGGTTTCCCTGTAGCTCCAGCTGGCCTGGAGCTCACTATGT